AAAGACTTAAGAATAGAATTCTTTCAACTTCTTAGAAGAATAACTGTACAAATGTCTAGACAGCTTAATTTATTTAAGCCTAATCCAGCCCTTTATTCATAGTCTACTATCTCTCTAGCATCTCTAAGTCAGTCCTCAGGAAAACCTATTTTAAATCATAGAGAGATAACTGGGACTTTTATCAACTTGGAGATTTGGATGATTCTTAATAAAGTTTCTTCTATCCTTGAATGGTAGGTTCCCTAGAACATCATGGATATTCAGAAGTGATTCACAGTCTTCTTTTCCAGTGTCACTGTTCTGCTGATACACTACTTTAAAAAAGGAAGAAATAATATATTTTATTTAAAATCTTATCTTCTCTTTTGCTGTCACAAAAAGGGTGGGAGATTAGGTATTGTTTCATTTGGGGCTCAGACAATAGCCTCCTAAGACAATAAGAGCCTGTTCACCTCTGCCCTGATCATGGGCCATCCCATCTTTACATCAGTATAATACATGCCCCCAACAGTGAGATAGGGGGCCACTCTTGACCAGAGGACCTTCTTAAGGAAGTGATGCCTGACATCATGGCCACTTTTGAGGCATCCCATAACTGTAAGATCTAATCAATGTTGACTGGAAAAATTTTAGGTCCAAATCCTGGGCTCCTCTTCTTTTTGTTCCCAAGATTTCAGTTCAGAGTCTCTTACACGCATAGCCTTTTAAAGTTCCTGAGATTCCTTCTTAAAGTAGTATGTGCCAAGACAGTAAAGAAAAGGCCCCAAGATAGACCAGGAGGAGGAAGAACTCGGGGGAAATGCTGGTGAGGGTTAGGTGAGGGAGAACATTCTAGGAAATGACTAGCCCAGTGTGTGCCTGTGATGACAAAATGGATGTGCTAAATAGACAAGGTTTCTTCAAAGAATTTGAGCATTTTTAAAACAAATGCAAATATTTCTGTAAGTGCCCAGTAATTCCTAAACTCTTTTTGGGCATATGCTCATACATACACATAAACATACTGGTTTAGAATTTTAGGACTGCTGAATATCTTTAAACCATTGAGTAATAGTTTTTACTTAAATACTTTTGGTGGTTTGTAATATTTTCCACTTTGTTAGGAGTTTTGCCAGAACTAACATGCACGTAGAAACAAGTTATGGAAGGGGCCACACCTGCTTAGAAAAGAAGTAACTCCTTCATTCAGGAGCAAAGCAAACTTATCATAAAAGACAACACCTGAAGAGCTTGTTGGGCTAACTGTGATGCTTTCACAGACACCTCCCAGGTTGATTCCTCATACTTACATGAGGTCACTTTTAGAGTGACTTTAAAAATATGCTCTGACAATTCAGAATCACCAGAGAATACAGTATTGCTGTTAACCTGAAAGAGAAAGATAGTTTTAGGATGGAATGTAAAATTCTTGTCCTCATACTTCTCAGTGAAAACCTAAGATTTTCTCTCCTCAGCAATTTGTAAGGGCTGTTGGCATTCAGGATGTGGAGAAGTGTTGAAGATGACGTATGTGTATGACATGCTGCTCTTTTGGAAGAGGAAATATAATTAAGAAAATCAACCGTTCAACATTATTAGGAATCTCCACCTTAATGATCTGAGACATAACAAATACATTTATCTGAAATCCACTTGACCTAAGTCCATCCATTCATTCAACATTTATTAATGTCTACCACATAGTAGGCACTGTTCTTGGCACCAGGCATCAGTGAATCCTGTTTTCACACAGTTCACATTCTGCTGGGGAGAGACAGGCAATAAACTAAAGCAAGAAACAGATGATGTATCTGAGGAAAAACTAAAAGGTTAAGAGGGTAGGGAACGGTAATGATGCTATTTTGTGAGGGTCATAATAATGAAGATAGTGAACTTAGGTGGTTATATTTGAGCTGAGACCTGAATGAAGGGAGATTAGTAACATGACAGTGTGGAAGAAGAATTGACCCTGGATAGAGGGAATAGCAAGTGCAAAGTCCCTAAAGTAGAGATCTGCATGGCATGTTTGAAGAACATCAGAAAGGCCAGTGTGGCTGGACTAGAGTGATGGAAGGGAAGAATAGGGTACTCAATGAGATACCTGAAGAAGTTGCCAAGTATCCAATCTTACAGGCCAAGGAAAGGACCTGAGATTTTTAAGTATGTTAAGAATCAAGTAGAGGATCCCCAGCAAAGAAGTGACCTGGTCTGACTTACACAAAGGATCATCTGGTTTCTATGTGCATCACAGATTGTAAGCAGCAACGTGGAACAACCCATTAAGAGAGAAACACAAGAAAAGATAGCAGCTTGAACTAGAGGTGGTGCTAGGAAGTATTCAAACATATTTTGAATATAAGGCCAGAGATTAAGGTCAAGTAGGTGGTGCTATTGGTAAAGAGCCCACCTGCCAATGAGAGATGTGGGTTTGATCCCTGAATTGGGAAGATTCCCTGGAGAAGAAAATGGCAACCTACTCCAGTATTCTTGCCTAGAGAACCCCATGGACAGAGGAGCCTGGTGGGCTATGGTCCATAGGGTTGCAAAGAGTTGGAGTGACTGAAGCAACTTAGTTAGCACACATGCACCATATTTATGGTATAACTAGAATCTGCCATCCAGTCTTCTGATGACCCATTCATTCCTTCACATTACACCAACCTCTCCTCGCCCCATGAACTTCATAATGTTATATGAACTACTCTTTTCAAGGAATATATTTGGAATGTTCTTGTTACAGAACCTAGCTGGTTGGGATCTATTTCGCAAACCATTAGATGCAAGTGAAAGAGCTCTATGTAAAGCAACCATGATGTTTAACCCTCTGGACTAATTCAGATGTGCCAGAGACAGCAATGATATTTAGATGTACATTATACAGGTAATATATACTGCTTCAGAGTTAGTGGGTTGCAAAGACATTCTTTGACTAGGTGTACATAGCTAGGAAAATATTCTACCTGTTTATAGTTAGCAAACATTGAAAATATTCAGTGCTTTTTCTTTGCTATGAATAAACATCTATCTGGTCCTTGGTCTGTCAGAATTTACCTTCCTCATAACTTTCAACAAGCCAAATATTGAATGTCCACTGTGTCAGGCACTTTACTAGACCTGGAAAACTAAAATGAACAGTCCCTTTTCATCAGATACAAAGACAATAAGAGTTGAAAGTGACTTAGAAAAAGAAGCAAATTTTTCAAAAGTACAAATACCTGTTGAAAATTATTGATCAGGTAATGCTGATCAATGTACACAAGTTTGAGCAAGCTCCAGGAGATACTGAAGACAGTGAGGCCTGCCATGCTGCAGTCTACCGGGTCGCAAAGAGTCGGACATGACTTAGCAACTGAACAACAGCAATGCTACAGTAAACAGAACAACTAGACCTTCTTGGAATTGTCAGGAAAAGATTTCCTAAATAGGTGAGCCAGAGTTTTAAGAAAAGAATCAGACTTGGCAGGTAGAACATTCAGTATAAGGAAAATATAGCACAGGAGGACTAAAGGGCAGAAGCAAGTATGACTGGGCATGTGAGTCCACATCCAGGTGTAATTGGACTGGGTCATTGTTAGCAAAGGGTGGAGGAAGCAATTAGAGGACAGCTGCAAACACAAACCAGTAGTTCACAACTGAGGTCTCAAGAGCACTGAATGTGATCAAAACAAAGAGTATGTGTGTGTGTCTCATTCATTTCCGACTCTTTGTGACCCCATGGACTGTAGCCCACCAGGCTCCTCTGTCCACGGGATTTCCGACCAAGAAAACCGGAGTGGGTTGCCATTTCCTTCTCCAGGGGATCTCCAGGGATCGAACCCAGGCCGCTTCTGTCTCCTGCATTGGCAGGCAGATTCTTTACCACTGCACCACCTGGGACAAATTACAAACGGGTGCCACTGAAGACAAATTTTTAGTCATACTTCTCAGCGTTTATCAATATTCGTCAACGTGTTTACTAAGTACTTTCAATACGGAACCTTTTAAAGGCAAGACACAACATGGAAGTTTTTCAGAAGAAAACACTACAAAGAAGAAATTATGCATCGACTAACAGGAAAAGTTGAGAAAGGAGCAGTTTTCTCTCCCTGCTTCCATGAGTGTGCTGAAAACAGCAGCGAAGTCGGGAAAATTGTTCTAGATAATGCCTTTATCTAATGCACAGTGTCTCTCCGTAGTAAGCAGTCAACAATTTATGGTTATTCTTTTGACCTTAGACCTCTCTTAAGCATTTGAGATTTGGCTTTCTCATTTTCAGAGGAAGAAACGGGTCACAGATGGTCTGCGGCTCCTGCCAGAGCCGACAAACCCCTATTTCAAGAAGGCATCGACTAAATATTTGTTGAACACACGAAGTAAACTCTTTCCACCGGGCCAAGCTCAGCGCCCACCAGAGAACCCGCTTAGACGGAGAACAGGATCGGACGCTGGACCCACAGGCGGGTGTTCAGCCAAAGCTAAGTGGGGCTAAGAGTCTCGACTTGCAATCTTAGTCCCGTCCGCCGCCTGGGCCACACCCCCTCGGGCCCCTCCTGCGCTCGGAATCGCTCGTCTCATCCTGCGCAGCAGTGACCCGCCTCCGCCAACGCTCCGAACACGTCCCTTCCGGCTTAAGGCCCGCCCCACACGGCCCCACCCAACCAGCCTCGCCCATGGCCACGCCCCTCCGCGAGATCTGAGCTGGGTTCCTAGCGCCGGTCGGCGGCCGGTCCACCCACGACGCTCTGAGGTCACCCACTGGGCCGGGCTGAGGGGGGCGGAGGGACGGAGGGAAGATGGCTGCCGAGGCCGGATATTGGCGCCGCCTCCCCCAATCCTGGAGCCGGCGCAGATGAGGCGGCTCGGCTGGGTCCGGCGACGCTTGGGAACCGGAGCAGGAGGGACACTGGCGGTGGGGCCTGGCCCTGCTATATGCCGGCGCCTCGGCTAGAGTGAGCGGCGGCGGCAGCGCGTCTTTCCTCCGGCTCTTTCCCTGTCGCTGTGAGTCCGAACGGGTGGCGGGCGGCAGAGGCAGCGGGGCCGGGATGGAGGACGTTAACTCCGACGTGAACGCGGACCAGGAGGTGCGGAAGCTGCAGGAGCTGGTGAAGATGCTGGAGAAGCAGAACGAGCAGCTGAGGAGCCGCTCCGGGGCCGTGCAGGGCGCCGCCTCCTTCGGGCCCGGCAGCCCAGTTCGGGCCGGCGCGTCCACTCCCTCCTCCGGCACGGCGTCTCCTCGGGGCTTCCCCTTGGGCCTCAGCGCCAAATCGGGCAGCGGGGCCGTGTCGGGCCCGAGGCGAACGAGTAGCGAGGAGCTGCGGGACGCCACCTCCTTGCTGGCAGCGGGCGAGGGCGGTTTGCTGGACGAGGTGGAGCCGCTGCGGCCCGAGGAGCTGGAGCGTCTGTCAGGCTGGGAGGAGGAGGAGGAGAGCTGGTGAGCGCGGGGCTCCGGGTCGGGGCAGGGCGGGGACGGGCCCCGGGGCGGAGAGCGTCTTCCGAGGGTCCCCCGGTAAGACACCTCGGTTTGTGTAGCGGGCTCCGCTTTCTGACTCATGGATTTCTTGCTTTGGCAGCGGTAAGGTCAGCGAGAGTTGGGGGGTCGAGGCTGGCGAGAGGAACAGGGTTTGTAGCTAGTTCTTCTCTGGGTGGGGGACCCTCTGGGCTTCGGGCCCCGTTGGGGTCTGGGGACTGGCACAGCCTAGAAAGGGCTGCTTGCCGTGGGAGGAGTCGGAGATGGGAAACTGCTTTTGTAGGAAGGGATCTTGCTTTGTGTGAAATCCTGGCTTTCGGATGGTGGCCTGGGCATTTTGGGTGTCGGGGAGGGGGTCTGCTTGATGAGGTGTCACCCGGTGCGGGGAGCAGACCTGGGTAATCGAAGTCCGCGCGGTGGTCATCGTTTTGGACTAGTGGGAGTTGGGTACATTTCTGGTGGCAATGGGGAAACCGTGTGAATCAGCACTCCCCCTTGAGTAGTGGGGTGAAGCTTGCTTTGTGTGAAGAGGGCAGAGGATGGTGCCGCTTTGTGTAAGAGTCAACGGTGGAACAAGAGCCCTGACTCTCATTTTTTAAACAAGAATTGGGTCTGGCGTTTTTCTAAGCTGTGAAGTGACAGTTTTCCAGCTTTCATTTCTATGTCATTCTAGAGGCAGAGAAAAAAGAGCCCTATTTAAAAATGTGAACCGAACTGTATTGTCACAAGCTACTTGATAAAATTGTGACCCACGGCATAATATCACTTCCATATATAGAGAGGACATGAGAGGCGGTTTCCTTCGTGTTTTATGGCAATTGCATAAAAATATCTGTGGGAAATTCTTAATTTGTCTTTTTTTTTTTAAGTTGTAATCTTTTAGCTAAAGTATCTGTTCTTTGTTGAAATTGAAACTTCTAACTTAGTGAAATTGAAATCCTTCATAGACTCTGGTTTTGCAGGGCTGCAACTTTACAGAATGTCCTGATATAGTTGAGAGCTTTGCCTGGATTCAGGCCCTGGCTCTGCTACTCACAGCTGTACGACCTTGGGCAAGTTACTCTGAGCCTCACTTTCTTCCTCCTATTTGATGAAGAAAATAATAGTTCTTTATTCTATAGAGTTGTGAAGATCATGTGAGATAATCCATGTATCCTTTTAGCATGGGTCTGGTATATAAGCTCTCTGACACTCGCTGCTATTACTCTTAAGCCAAGTTGTTAAAATTAAGAAATATTTATTTAGTGAATGCTTCCAGGATCTTGTGGGAGATTCTTAAATTTGATCCCTGTTCATTAAGGCAGTTACATTCTTGTTGGGATGGGGTTGCGAAGAGTTGGACCGGACTTGGCGACTGAACAACAAAATAAGAAATAGGCTAGGCAATACATAGTGAATTGCTTAAAAGATTGATAGGGACCAAAAGTACTGAGAGTGCTGAGAAATTGGGAAGGAAATAATAGTCTAAGGTAGTTGGGAAAACTTTGAGGAGAGGTGGAGCCTGAGGAGTGAGGGGCATTTTATGCTCTGACAAACTGCTAGAGCAGAGTCAGATATTTGTAACTCTCGATTAGAAAGGTTTGAAATACAGAGATACTCTTGAATATATGATGTCAAGCCTTTATTTTACTGCCAAGTGATACCAAATATAATTAGAACTGACTGTGGTAGTGAGTTTTCATATTAGTGTGAAGTCATGTCCTCACAAAGGAATCCTAGGTATGTATACACTTTAAAAGAAGTGAGAATCATCTAAATACCATCACATGCCTCTTCCAAGTGATGATAATAATGCTCTTAATAATAACGAGGATTAGCTGCACTCATCCCCCATTTTAGATGATATATTCTTAGAACAAACTAACTCCAATTGGAGAGGCTGATTAAGTCTTTTGCTGCTTTGGTTTCTGAGCATAGGGTTTGTTCAAGTAAAGTAAGTCTTTTAAAATACTACGCCAGAAGTTTCTTTTGGCCAGTTGGTTCCTGGTTATATGTCTTCATATTATAGATGTCCTGCCCTTTTTCTGAAAAGATTTGTGTGAATTAAAAGTTTTAAAATCATGTTTAAAGTGTTTTTGGAGTATGTGTATGAAGTATTAAGTTATAAAGGGTGGTGGGTGTTAGCAGCAGGAAGAGGAAGATTTTAAGTCAGGAGTTTTTCTTAGCAAACTAAAAATCTACTTTCTGTAACATACACTTTTCTTTCTTTTTCATTTAGGGAAATTTTTTTTTCCTAAATATATACCACAAAATGCCACTCCTGAAGGTATTAGTAGATATTGTGTGAACAAATAATTGTTGGTCTGAGATCAGATATATCTGGGGAAAAGGTTCAAGAACAACGAAAGAGGTTTCTTTTATGCTGAACTTTTTTGATAATGCTAGTATGTGTTGAATAGTAAATCTCTAAGTGGTATGGTTTGTCTCCTAAACTTATTTGAGCTCCCAAAGAACTAGTTTCTTTAGAACACACTTAGTAACCAGTATTGTACTTAGTGGAGATGGAACTGGCAACCCACTCAGGTATTCTTGACTGGAGAATCCCATGGACAGAGGAGCCTGGTGGGCTGCAGTCCATGGGGTTGCAAAGAGTCAGGCATGGCTGAGTCACACACACAGTACTTTTAGTACTGACTTTCACTTTTTTTTTTTTAAGACCCATCTTCATGATATGTTTTATACCATCGTTTAGTACACACATGTATGTGAATAATTGAAACAGTTTCACAAAACTATACTTAGTATATATGTTAAAGCACTAGGATTTTCTGTTTCTTTAGGAAAAACTGCTGGTTACAATTCACTAAGCTGATTTGGTGACCCGTTAATGGTAATTATTAGTTTGAAAAATACTCTTATTAAAAAAAAAATACTCTTACAGAACAACTCAGAAAAATCTAGAGAAGGAAACTTACCTTATTGTGTGTCACGCAATGCCAGGCAACTTATAAATAATTTTGCATTTAATTGCATTTAATTTTTTATCCATTTATGAGGTAGGTATCATTTTTCAGGTAAGGAAACTTAATCACTCTCTAAGCATCAAATAGCAGACAGTAAATGATGGAGCCAGGATTTGAATCCAGGTCTTTATAACATCATAGCTTATGTTGTTCCCACTTTATTCTGCTTTCTCCAAGTATAATTCCTTTTCCACCTGAATAGCCCCTTACAATATTTGAATACTACCATCATAACCCTACTGACTCCTCCCTGCCACACACTGAGCACTCTAATCTCGAGAGTAAAACAACCTCAGTTTGTTTCCTTCTTGTTATTTAGCCCCTAAGTCGTGTCTGACTCTTTTGTAACCCTATGGACTATAGCCCACCAGTCTTCTCTGTCCATGGGATTTTCTAGGCAAAAATACTGGAGTGGATTGCCATTTCCTTCTGCAGGGGATCTTTCTGACCCAGGGATCGAAGCTGCTTCTCCTGCCTGGCAGGTGGATTCTTTACTACTGAGCCACCTAGGAAGCCCTTTAATCATTCTAACTTAATGTAATTCTCTCATCTTTCAACGTGGTCATTTTTCTCTTAATAAATTCTACTTGTTCCTTGTCATTAAATGTGTTACCCAGAACTGTACTCGGCATTTTAGATGATATTTGACCAGTGTGTGGTGGATATGTTTTGCATGAGCTAAATGCTGTTATTTGGAACCAAGTATTTCATTAACAGTTTTGACTTCTGTTACTTACGCTTAATATGAGTCAGTAGTTTCAATTACACTCTGTATTTTTATACATGGGTTATTAAACCAAGTCTTCCTAACCCTGGTTTTCTTTAATGAATTTTTTTAGCTTAAATATTAAGTTTTTATATTTTGTTAGTCTTGATTTAGGCATTTAAACCTATTCTTTGCAACTTTTTTGGTCATTTTCATATTTTGTAGACATACCTAATGGGTCTTCATTCAGGTTGTTAATAACAATATTAAAATTACAGAGTAAAGGGCTCTGAAGTATGCAGCTTGACCAGACTTCCTCGAGATTAACATCATTAGTCTACATACATTGTGGTTGTTCGATAAGTATTAGTACTACTTCTTATCAAGCCTATATGCCATTTTGCCTATATGGATATTATGAAAGATTTTGCCAAATGTCTTGCTGTAATTAAGCTATATGGTGCCTACAGAGTTCTTACCTACAGTTAAGTAAACTTATCAAAATAGAAATTGCAATTAATTTGGTTTCACTTGTTCATGATGAATCTTCTGGTTTTTTCCTTTTTTAACTTTACATCTTGTTTAACATAATTTTGAATTTTGCAAGGAATCAGTCAAGCAGTTTCTAGACATTGCTGCTTTTTCACTTTAGCAATTATATTTCCTCTTATTCAGGCTTTTGACCCTTCCATGATATTTTGAATCAACAGCAATAATTTGGTGATACATTTTCAGTTATTTTCCATTCTTTAGAAGAGTAGATCTAACCCTGTTGCAAGCTGCCTTTCAGCTTACTATCACCTTGACTCAATTTGAACTTCAATTTCCCTCAATTTAGCCTCCCAACAATTCAGAGTTTGTAGTTCAGTACTGTCGGCTGCATACATATTGCTTCTGTGCAGCAGATCCCCAGAACCCTCCCATCCTGCGTGACTGAAACTTTATACTCACAGAACAGCAACTCCTCACCCCTACAACCCCCAACTCCTGGCAAGTACTGTTCTGTGTACTTTATTTCTGTGAGTTTAACTACATTAGATACCTATAAGTGGAGTCATGAAGAATTTGTCCCTTTGTGACAAGCTTATTTCACTAAGCATGATTTTCTTAAGGTTCATCTATGTTGTAGCATAAGATAGGGCTTCCTCCTGTTTTTAAGGCTGAGTAACAGTCCGCTATATGTATATAACACCTTCTTTTTCCATTCATCTTTTGGTGGATGCTTTTATTGCTTCCATTTCTTGGCTGTTGTGAAAAATGCTGCTATGAATGTGGGCCTACTAATAATCTGTGCA